CACGTCGATTTGCCAACGCGCGCCTCGCGTTCCTTCGCTTTCGTTCCTGGCATGCTTAAAGGGTCTTTCACACGCGTGTTCGCCGAGAGGCGCTAATGGACGAAGAATCGCGGCTCGAACGATGATGATCCGGTCGAAAATAGCGGCGCGCTATGCTATTCTTTCCCCGAGTTACTATTCCGGGTACGTACACTGCGCCCGGCTGTAAGAAGATCTATATACACGGATAGATATCCACAGTTCACACGATAAACGTCCCCGATCATTTTCTACTTCTATGCAAACAGCGGTCTTCCTACGCTCTTTCATGCTCATCGATCAGTTGACCGAATAAACGGAGAATCCGGCGTGAACGAGTTCGCTGTCGATTTAATGGATCAATACTTGCGCGTGCTGCAAGCAGTGAGAATAATTGTAAATAATCATGTGTGCACTTATGTACGGATTCTTTTTTTTTCCTCAAAGAGCATAAAGATTCCAAGCTGGTCGAAGAGAAAGTTGAGAGCTGAAAACGGCGCGGGCTCGTTTTCGAGTATCCCGAGTCGGTTATGCATCATCTCGCTTACAGCCGAGTTGCGCAATATTTGTGTGGTACAGTGATCTAGATAAAAGAGGGGCCGATGGCCAATTGGCTTCGGCGAAATCGCGGAAAATCGCAATTTTGGCAGAACGCGCAAACTCTCGCGGATATACTCGCGGTGCAGTGGCCGGTTCCGTGGTCCGAATCCCAAGAGATTTATTCGACGCAGCAGCGAGCGGCATAAGCTCGCTGTCGAGAGGGAGAAAGAGAAAGAGAAAGAGAGAGATTCATCAGCATGAATAGAATTTCCATTAAACCATAGTTTATTCCTATTAGCTATAGTTACCGCGAGTTATTTCTTCTCATGAACAACGCGAGTATTTATAAGCGTATTCTGCACAAATGCAAATCAGCTGACCATCCAAATTGTGAGTCAAATGTAAAGTCTACAGCACTTTTCGCGCGTCGAATTTTATTAACCGTCTTTTTTTTTTTTTAGAAGCATTTAAATATAATTAAACGAGTTATTTTTATCGCAACTATCCATCAAATATTTTACTATCTCTCTCTCTCTCTCTCTCACACACACACACACATATACAGATGATTATTTTAAATCTTTGACGAGATTTTATACGTGTCTGAAATATTTACTTCCTGTGAAATATATATTTAATTAATTAACGTACACAATCATCTACTCATTGTACAAATAAAATTATTGTATTTTACATTAACTATTTATAATCCAGCAGGATTAAATATAGCCGATGTTTTTTTTTTTTTCATTTCGAATAGTATTTCCTATGTCCTTAACAGGTTGAATTTTCTCCTGTCCACCATCGTCGCCCGCGCGAACCGTTGCGCCTACCGCAATGGGAACACGGCCGTGCCCGACGGACGGGGAGAGATGAAGGGGAGGGGAGGGGGGAAGAGGAGGGGACCGGCGACGTTACCAAATCGCTATGGCGTAACATTTTGCTTATTCACGTTCGATTATACAATCTGGCACACTTTTACTCGGCGCGGCGAATCGAGGCGCAGTGTCGTTACGGCACTTTTGTCCCTTACTTTCCAAACTTTATGCAGCAGCGTCCTCTTTCCCCTTAAGAAAAAAAAAAAGAAAATGTGTTCCCTTCCTCTCTCGTTTCTCTTATACAAATTAAGATAAGGGTAACGTATGCGACAAAGTATATAGGGGCAATATTTTCGTGCGTTACTAAAAGATTCATTTAGCCTTTAATGTGTTTTTAGATTATTCCTAGATCTTTCGATTAACAACAAAATTTTTTTTTTTCTTCCGTTTAATTCAAACATGAGCAAGATAAAACCGAATTTTTAGAAAATAAGGAAAGAAACTAGCGTTTCTCTTGTTAGTTGTTAGATTTGGAGCACGATGTGAAAATCATAACAAATACGAGACTATAACGCTTCTCACCGCGATTTATATTATTTTTTCATTTAATCGAAAAGAAATAATATGATGTAAAATTTCGCACGAGTATTAGAATGAGATTATGACGGAGCCTGCTGTTTCGTTTCTATTTTCGCATCTTTTTTTTTTTTGTAAAATTTTATGAATTAATCGCTGATCATTAACAGTGCCGTTTATTAAAAAAAAAAAAAAAAAATGATAATAAGACTGTTATATCGAACAATGCAAATTTTTATTAAGACTCTTATTAGCGTAAATATGTATTTCGAATGATAATTCATAGTGAGATAAACGTCGATTATTCTCGTATCTCCGCGCGCAGCCACAAGTGACATTTAAAGATACGGCGAAGAATTTGCAGCAATCTTTTTTTCCCCGACATTAAAAAGGAGGTTAAAAGGCAGTCTCATGCGCGGGATATTTTCAATTAGGGAAAGTTCGATCTAATTGTCGAGCGACGCGGCGGGAATTGCAGCCTACGATGATAATAAAACGCAATGCTGCCGCTTCCGTTCGAAGGCGCGCTTGCCTGCCTGCCCGCTTCTCTTTTCTCTTCTTTTCGCGACGATAATTGATACTCCGTGCTCGCACGCGGAGAATTTCACCGCGATTTGTGAAGCGTCGGCACTTTCCACCTGCGACCTGCGCTCGTCGAAGAAATCAACCTTGGCGCCGATCCGAGAGCGAGCGCGACTCTTCGAATCACGCGGCGCCAGATGTCGACGAGATCGAGTCATCAGCTGCTGTCGATGATTCGAATCGAACCGGTTTAATGGCGAAGATATAGAGACTTCGCGAAATCGCAGCCGAGAAACCCACCTTCCGGTTGGTCGATCGCGTTCTAATTAATTATACCGGCTCTCGATTCGATTAAATCAGATCGTTTCGCGTGCATAATTAATTTCGCGATACCTCGCAACGCGCAAATAATTCGGTAAAGACTTAATGTCGCGCGAATATCCGTAATCCGTAGTGTTATGTCGCGTCACGTCCTCGACTTTTAGAATCGCCAATTTGCTTAATCTTGGAGCGCACATTCTCCATTATTAGAATCTTATCATTAGAAATTAAATTTTTTTTTTTATGATTAGAAAATGAAAAAAATTGTACTCTTTATTAAAAAATTTATTTAAAGAAAAAGAGAGCATATTTTTAACGAATTAAATTTGACAGATGCAAATGAATAAAAAGAATAATAGAATATCTAATCACACGACTATATTCGTGAAAAGGAATGATCGCGCATCTCGACGGAGATGACAGGCATCGAAAGAGAAAACTCGCGACCGCAAGACGCGAAAGCGTAGACGGAAATGCTTCGGAGGCAGCAGCAGGAAGCGAATCTGGGCCGTCGAATCGGAGAACGGCAAGTGGGTCACGAGAACGAGACGAAGCCGTGCATCGGAGATGACGACGTAGCCGACGACGGCGATGAGTTCGCGCGTCGCACTTTTCAACGTTTTCCCGCGCAACTACGAGGCGAATCCTTTCACTTGGCATCTGTCACGCGGAGGAAGTTCTCCGCTCGCGATTTCATTTCAAACGGATTAGTCGTTTCCTGCCTCTTCGCGCTTCTCGTCGAGAAACTCGGTCCAATTTCTGTTCCGCGATCGCACCCGCCTTTGAAATCGCGGTACGCGGGTTAAGTATCGTGTTCTCTCTTTTTATCTACTAGAAAATCTTATCTCTCTCGGAGAGAATCTTTCTGAGAGATTAATTTTATTTGCTCGTATTATCGACGGTATGTTTAGCATTTCTTGACGTCAATCGGTCTCTCACGTTCAAAGCTTTGCTTAACAAGAAAAGAATTATATTATCGGATTATTCTGTTATAGCAAGAAATTAAATAAAAGTGTCAGTCACTTTTGTACGTTGAAAACTGTATATAATTGATATGCTGTTAGAAAATTTTACTATGTTTTAAAAATAAACACAAGTAGAAAAATGTTTCATAATATTAATATTATAATATTAAAAGAATAAAATAGGCGTAAAATATTAATAGACATCTTGCTAGCAATCATTTTATTCGCGAGTTGCAGCGCATTTCGCGGAATTGGATGTGGCTAAAAATCGACCCAAGTTTTTCACGTCATACGTCGATCAGCTTTTACAATCCGTTTAACACATTCAACGAAGGTATATAAATATTCACCTAGTTATCAATTCGATAGCGTAATACTTTTTTGTCACACAGTTCCCTTCGGCATACTTTCAACAAAAAAAAAGAAAATAAATAAATAAATAAATAAATAAACTTTTGCGACTAAAGCGGGGACTTATATATTACAACTCGATGAAGGACTGACGTTTTGAAGATTAAAACCGTGATACGGTATCGCTAATCCGCTCACAGGATCATCGAAGACCGACTATTTTTTTACATTTACGCTCGCATGCATAATAATCCGTCAAAAGCGAGGATATTTCGCCGCGTCTGGTTGGTCGGCGACACGATATCGAATCGATATCTCTCTACGAAGTCGAAATAAACTCGGGCTACCGAGAAACGCAGTTACGTCATGACGATCCAGGTTTCAGATGCCAGACGCGAGATACCGAAGTCACCATTTCATCGAGCACTTTCTTCCCGCCTCTCTTTCCCTCCTTCGACCACCAATCGATCGTGATGAGAAACGAGATACATTTGTTATCTATTTGAAATTGCCGATAAGTAAACGAGGTCAAAGAAAAGGCCCGTCTTATTGTATGTAAATCTAGACTGAATCGCTAGAGAACCTATTCCGATCGCACTATTCATGCGCAGAGAAATATTGAAATTTCAAGATTTTTTTTTTTTTAGGACGAGCGCGCGTTATTTTTCTGTATATCTTGAATATACATTTTTTTATACACAATAGAACCTGACAAAAATTTAACCGAGCTGCTATCCAAGAATTATTATTGCTATTACTATTATTTTATCTATTGTTCGTAATCAGCTAAAAGTACTATCAATGTCGAGGGAAATCGAGCATTCCCGCGGAAAATCGCCGATCACATACGACGATACGTAGCCGTGAAAGATTGAGAGTTTGTACTTACGCGAGGGTGGCTGACGGTAATGCAAGTGTTGTAGACTCTGCGTTTGATGGTGATGGTGGTGGTGGTGGGGCGGCCCCATCGTCGAACCCATGGTGTGGTTGCTGTGCTGATGGTGCGGCGAGCTCCCCCGATGCGGATGATACTGGGAGGGATGATGCTGATGCGGATGATAGGAGGGCGGCAAAAAGGTCGCCGTCGACGGGTAAACGCCGGGGCTGTGACAGGCCGACCTGCCGAGTGCTGCTGTCGAGCAATCGATATAGACGCTCGATAAGAAAGCACGTGTCTCTTCGAAAAGTGTCGCGCGAACTTAATTTTGATCTCTCGTCAAAATTTTATCTCGTTAAGACGCAAAGAAATAATCTTTTAAATCAACGTTTTTATTATAAATCTACCTTTAAACTGTTCAATGTCTAATAATACTAAAGTTTTCAAGAGAGATAGAGATAAGATTGTGTATTATTATGAAAAATATTCTTAATGATCCTGGTATCGATACGAGATCTTTAGAATTATGATTTAAAATTCTTTATAATTACGATCTTAGATACATGCATTAAGCGATCGTATCGATGATCGATAAGCGTAAGATAGAGATCGAGCTCACCCGACGACAGATGAGAGTGATGAGACGCCAGACCTGGCTGGAGGGACGAATTAGGATTGAGCCTGGCTTTCAGTAAGAGATTCGCGTCCTCGTTGCCGCCGGAGGATGTGCTGGACTCAACATCGCTGACTCCGCTGTCCGCTGGGCTTGCTGGCAGTGATCCGCTTCCTGCTTCCGGCCGACGACGGCATGAAACAAAGGAAGGGGACGCGTCCTCTGTGATAAATAGCCGGCAGAGTTTAGGGCTAGCGATAAGGCGCGACATCGTCAATTAATCTCCCAACGATACCGTTTTGCGCAAAAGAGCACGATAAATGAAAGGCGCTCGACTATCGCGTATTAAAAAAAAAGAGAGAGTCGTGTTATCTTCTCGAAATTATTACTTCGTTAAAAAAGATTTTATTTAGGGCCGAAAGAATATTTATAATGTAGAAAAGAGGATTTTTATGATTTGAAAGAAGGATGCGTATTCTATTTCGTTTCTAAATATAGATAAATTTTATTTTGAAATTTTAAAGAACAGTTGTGATTTTTATATTTGGTTATTTACAATCGTTCTTACATTAAATTATTTCATTCCTAGCCAATTTTCTCTTCTTTATTTTCCTATATTTGTATATCTTTTGTCAATAATTTGCTTTTTACCTTTTTCAAAATATCGTAAGAGCATAGTTTATCATGGAAATTTCGATATAACAGGGTATCTACTCAAATCTTGTAAAAAAATTCCCTGATCTTTTGTTAAAAAATTTTAGATAAAAATGGAATATCTCGGTGAAAGATTTTTCGTGTCAACTTTCTAAAATAAGTTTTTTTATTATATACGTTTTTTAATGTTTTTCATTCATACGAAGGAAAAAAACAGAGCTTTTTTTTCAAGTTTCAAGTGCTAGATTTGCAAAGGTATTGAAAAAAAATTGAATAGCTTTTGTAAGCATTTTTCACTTGCATAACATCCTTTTTCTCACTAAAAATTACAATAAAGAATATGTACTACATATTCTATATTTTGTGCATAAATAGAAATAGATATATATTTATAATATATTTTAAACACAATTCACTTGGCTTAATTTCCTGATTTTTCCAAGTACAAAGAAAATCCCTGAGAATTCCAGATTTCCAGGATGTAGACACCCTGTATAATTTTTACTTGTGACGTCATCAATATATATACTATAAAAAATTGTCTAAGAATTCATTGTCAGACATATTTTTATCTAAATTTTCAGATCTAAATGTCTGAAAGAAATTTCAGACAATCTGTCATAATTATCAGAGTCGTTTTTCGGAATGTTCAAAAGAGTATGTCTGAAAATGGAAGTGCGTCTGAAAATTCAGACAGTATGTCTGCGAAAAAAACTTCAGACACTTTGTCCGAAGTTTTTCTTTTACTGTACATAACCGAACATCGAATACTTCACATTCTAAATATGTCGCAACCATCAAATCACCGTTCGATATTATTACGCGACGAATGTATCGGCGATCGACCGGTTCGACAGGCTCTCTAAATTAAAGCCGCGCGTCGCTTTCGTCCGCCGCTTTAAACAAATTAGATGGTCCCTGGAGATGTCCGGAGAGCTCGTTCGCTCGCTCGCTCGCTCGGCTTTATCGAACGTCGCCGAGCCGTGCCGAACGTGTTCTCGCGCGCGCGCCGTCAATTAAAGGCATCTTTATGCAACGAGCGAAGGTCATCCGGTCATTGGGTATGCATATCGCTCACTCTTCCCACGGTTCCCTCCCCTACCCTCTTCTCTCCTTCTCTCTCGCGGCGCGACTAACCGTCTCGAACGGGTCCTAAAGGGTTCTGCGCGAGAGTCATTGCTCTCTTTCGCTCCTATCCTCCCTCTCTCGTCGTCATCGTCTCGTTGTCGTCGTCTCGTCATCGTCATTGTCATCGCCGCGTTATGCAAGCCGATATCCGCGAATTCGATCGGTCGCCGCTTTATGCAACAATCGAGTCGAGTATTTTGAGAATCGGTTTATGCCCGAATTCCTGGCGAAATGCAAAGGTATTGTCGGTGAGCGGTTTTGTCGTTGCGCGATGCAACTTTTGTGAAATCGACGTTGCTCCACTAATCCAAATTTTAAACTACGAATGCGGAAATGTTTATTTTGCTTTCGTTATTGCTTTCTGCATCGCCTGTATGTGTGTGCGCGCGCGTGTTATGATTATAATTATTCTTAAGAAATCGCGCCGATCGGTTTTCTCACCTCTCCTTAACCACCGTAACACGATTGTTTGGTTGTTCTACTTTTCGGTCAATTAGCGAATAGCAGCATTCGACGATGCAATTATTCGACGAAACGTCCGAGTAATCCGCGATTGTCGCTTCGGTAATAAGTCATCTACAAGAGAGCCGTTGCGCCTTGTTTTATTACGATCCAATTAATGGAAATCATCATCGTCTTATTTTACACAAATGCCAATTATCCGCAAAATGCCAGACTAGTTATCAAATGTGGTATTCTTTAATGTTACAACAACGCAAACGTATCTATGAAAATTTTTTTAGATATATTATATATTAAATTGAAGCTATAAAAACCTAGAAATAATTGAGTCAAAATGAAAAATATGACATATCCTGTTTGTAATAACAAGTCGATTTTTTTTAATAGCTCTTTTTAATTAAATAAACGATATCGACATCGCGATTAAATTCTGAAATATTTCTTCAAAAAATGTCGATTTTTTCAAATATTGCGACCATCTATTTTACTTCTTTTTTATTTTATCATATTTTTAACGTCATATATATATATATATATTCTCTCTATCATAAATCTGTCATCATATATCCTTCTTTTAACTTTATTTATTTCTCCATTATCTCATATACTCCGATTGTAATTTATCAAAAACCTCTCTTTCTCATTTTTCTATTTCTAAACCTACATCCTCTTTCGACATTATGTTCTAAATTATATCGTATGCGATTGAAAATCTATCGCAATATGCAAACTGACTGGGGTGGGTCCTCCAGAAATCTCATTAACGTTATTTAAAATGTTTTCCTCGAATGCCTTACCTGGCGTACTCGTGGCGGCAGTAGTGTAAGGCGGCTGGCCCATTTGAGCGTGACCGGTCAAGTGTCGGCCATATCCGTTCTGCAGCCCCAGGCTGTGCTGCTGGGGATGCTGGGAGAGGATCCCGTGGAGCAGACGGGTTCCTGTGCTACTGGTGGTAGTCGCACTGGTGGATCCCGGTTCCACTTTCACGCTCGCGAGACCTAATTGTTCTTTTTCGCCTGTGTCGTGCGGTTGAACTTCCCTTGTGTCTACTGCAACAAATAACGAAATAACATCGATTAAATAAATGAAAATCAGATATATCAGAAATATTAATTTCTCTAAACTGGAGAAATTGAATAAACGATGGAATATTAAATACCATAGATTATATAAAACGATACGATTATTTATATAAAATGATAAAATAAAAATATTTTTGTTGAATTTTTATGCGGAATTCATCAAATAACTTTTTCTTTATTTTTCTTGCGCTTTGCTTCAATTTTAATTATATAAAATGGAAGTATAATATTGCGTTCTAGCGATAGTTATCTAAATTCAAAAGATAATAATCACTCGTCTTTCGTCATAGTAAAATATCGATACCGATATTAAGATAGGAGGATCTCGTAATAATATTTAATAATAAATATTAAAAGTGGGAGTTAACAATTTATTCTATCTCAGAGAAATTAAAGTATAGTATAATTTTTACTCGCTGCTTTACAAAGAGCGAAGCATCGACTCCTCATTAATGAACGAGAAATGATGCTCCGAGATAAGCTGCTTATCGTGACCCGTGCATTATATCGCGGATCGCCCGTCCGGGTCCAGGTTAAGTGGATCAATTTGAAGGGAAGCGTTCATTAAGATTTTACCGTAAACACATCTATCCGTCGGTCGAAATAATCGAGCGTAATCATAGGCGGATAAATATTCTCACGAGGGGGAAGGAAAAACGCAGAAGGAGAAGGAAAAAAAAGGCCGCGACTCGAGAGGCGTTCTCTTTCTCTCTCTCTAATATCTGTCTTTCTCTCTCTCGAGGAGCTCGCGTCGAGAGGAAGTGAAAGCCGGCGTCTCTCCTTGACCCACTGCAACGTTTCTACCTTCCTTTCAGGCGGTGCTGTGCCACGGCGCGGCTTCATTAAGCAATTTCTCGCCGCAGCGGACCCGAAAAATCCTCCGTGGAAAATGGCGGCGACCGATCCGATCGATCAATTTTCCTCACGCGAGCTCGCTCTCGCAAATTTCCTCAAGCTCGCCGATTCGTTCGATTCTCCTCGCTCTCGGAAGGTCGGTGGGGATTCCGTTGTTATGCAATCATGCGGATCTCTTACCGTATCACGTTTCGGAGTCACGACGGATTAAAAGAATAATCGATGTTCGCGACTGCGATCGAAATAAATCGTCATCAAACATTTATCTTAGGCGCTCAATATAAACACGATAAAGATTTATTTTGTTCGATTGATATAATCATTGTGTTTTTTTTTTTTAAGCATCGTAGATGAACGCTTAAGTCAACTTTTATATCGATCATTGTAAATTTTATTAATATCATTTAATAATTCTGCGATCTTGCAATCACATGTTTGCAAAGTAAAAGTTTTCGCAGTTTCTCGACATATCCGTATAAGAACTGCGTTGATGTAACATGTGTAAATCGGAGAGGACCGTTTAAAGATCACGCATGAAATCGTATAAAAACTGACATTTAATGCGCGCCGCGGCAGTACAGCAGATTACAGAGAGACCGGTATTCCCATGAATAATATTCACCTCCGTTATACAAATTGCATATCCTTGCGGCTTCGTAAGAGCCGCAACATTACAATAATCGCGGATGCGAGTTATTTGCGAGGCGCCGCGGAACGAAGAACGCAACATTTTTTTCTCTCCAATTGTCGCATCACGTAATATTCGCAACGGAAATCTTAATAATCATCGCATAAAAATTTTAAAAATTATGATCCGATTTTAATACCGAAAAATATCGCGTTATCGTATCTTGGCAAAAATTGCCATAGTTGCGAAAGTTTCAGACAAGTTTCAAGAAATTTAATATTACGTTAAAAGTGTTTACAAATAGGAAAGTCATTCGCGTACGAATCCATGGAGTTATGACATCATAGGCCTGAAATTTATGACTATATTTTAGCACCACACCAGGTAAAATCAATTGGATATTATATACATTAAAAAAACGTAATGTCCAATTGATTTATATATATATAGTCTCTCATTCTGTTCAAATTTATTCATTCTTCTATCTCTTTTTAACGAAATAGCGTGTCACTACAAAAGCAAAAAGATTGATATTAAACGCCGACCGTTTGATTTTTTTTTTCAATCAAAATTCTGTGAGTTATTGACAAAATATATTCGCAGCCTTTATTTTTAGAGACCCACCGCGAGAAAAAAACAAAATATTATATATCTTCCGAACGGTTTCAAGGCTCCCGGAAGTAAATAGCCCCGCTATTGTTCGAAAACGTCGTCGCTTCGCTTTACTGCTGCATTCCTTTGCAGGCCCAACGGACGGCTCAATGTGTCGTCTCGCATTTTCATCACGCGCGCGACTCACGCATGAAGATTTAATCGACTCTCAACGATCTTTTGTTATTCGCTGCTGTCTACTTCCGCGAACATAAGAAAGGGACGGTCATGGTTGAAATTGAAACGTCAAGAGTTTATTTTTATCTTATTATTAGTTATGATTAGTTTTAACCGCCGGCCGTGTCTTTTAAAGTCAGAAAGTGACTGGATTTTTATCTCAGCAGGTCTTACGTCAAGATCTTACATCGTTTCTTTCCGCGATTTCATAACATCTTGAAATTTGATCGACCGAGATAAATCGTGATGTATGGAGCGCTCGCAGCCTCTCGTGAATTTTTATATAAAATTTTAGAGAACGGGAGATAAATTTTACCCACCCACCGGAAACGCGGGAGTAGACTGACCTTACTTGGCATTGGACTCTCGCGCTCTCGATTGCGATGGACGGGGTGTGGGTGTCTAGCCGGATCGATCGCGCGCGTTTCAAGTCGATCGGCGCGTGTATATAGTTTTTTCACGGCGTTTTCACCTTCTGCGCGCTTCCTGCCCGTTTCACCTGTAAGATCCAGAAGCCGACTTCCGCCGATATCGACACGACGGCAAGGTTTCACCGTAATCACCATTACCACGTCCCGGTTTTCATAGTTTCTAAAAGCCCGAGACCAGTTTCGCTCGCTCGCCAAGTACCATTCGATCTGATCGTAAATTAATATGCATCGCGCGATTTTAATCGCCGTAACAAAACCATTAAAATTAACCACGAAATTATTCTTATTGTCAGAACAACGAAAGAAAATACTCGGCCAGCAAATATCCAGCGTTCGTTAATCTTGACAAATGTACAATATGTACGTCAACTCTCTCTTTCTTTATGTATTTGTATCGAAATAATATATAAGTATTTATCGCTTTATCATTTTATATTATTTTAAGAATAAAGTTAACTATGTGTGTGTGTGTGACTATTTTATATTTATAATATTTGACGTAAGTATTTTTAGAATAAAAATTGCATATAATTATTATTATTATTCTATTGAATAGTAAAGTGTCTTCGCGATAAAACATTCTTCATTCATTCATTTCATTCATTATATCTATTAATATTTTTCTTACTAATATCGAGAATAGATAGAATTGCAAAATCCAAAGCATTCCGGATATCACAACATCTGTACCCATTAAAAAGTATATCAATATTTAATATAAATTAACTTATATATAAACTATAAAACAAATATTTCCTTGCGGTTGAGATTAAGAAAAATACATTGTTATCACACGTTGATCAAAATTGCTTAAAGACCATATCGAACGGAACGATGAAACGGATCGCGAAACGTTCGCAGCATGTGCGTACGCTTGCGGGTGCGTATGTGTATATGTATGTGCGAATAGTACGTAAGGTCAGCGTTTGGCCGGGCCACGCAACTTTCTCGCACGCGCACACGCGCAGCAGACGCGTGTCCCGGTGCGGCGTGGCCGGCATTGCGTAACGGTAACGACTCTCTCTTTCTATGTGACATCACGTGCGTCCGACATGCTGTCCGAGAAGCGGCAACTCTTGGATATGTGTGCGGGCGCGGAGAGTACGCAGGTATATGTCTCGTACATACATATACGCGAGAGACGAGGACATATTTCCACCTTGTGTCACGTCGAGAAAGGAGGCGAAAACACGTTATTTCGCACGTTCCGGCGACCAACCGAGATCCGGATTCGCCGTCTCTCGCCCACGGCGTCATGCGAAAACTGAAAACAGCCCCGGAGATATTATGACATCGATCGATCTCCGTTGAACAACACACCTGTTTTGCTTCACAATAAAACTAACGATATTTCACAGCCGAATAATATATTTAACGAATAGCAATAGGGTGTATGTAGAACATGTAACGAGATTGAAAAGCATTTAACCGGCTCGTTTTTCAATTTAATTATTTAATACTTTTATACAACAATTCATTAACGCGTTGATATAATAAGTACAAGATTATATATAGATAAATATTAATAATTTTGCCCCAATTTAAATATTGTGTAATGATAGTAAAATTCCTAAAATTACTACATAATGCGATATATTATAAGTTACATGGAACACTCGAATATCGTTGATGATATCGATTCATTGTTAAGTGTTTCCTTCTCGGGAGTGGAACTGAGTGTTAACAGAGCGTAACCGACCGTCATTCCGTTTCGCGAGAAACGCATATTTATCGGCGCGTTCACAGCAGGTGCATTCGCGCTCTGCATTCGCGAAACATTTCGGAAAGAAAACGGAAAATCGTAAATACCTGTTCATTTATCTCAAATTTCTTATCATGGGAATATAATTATCATAATCTTAATCATTTATCATGAAAATGTAACTCGCGGAACAGAACAAATATCTTTACAACTGTTCATCTTTTTCTCGATAAGGAATGCAATTATTTCATCAAGCGATACATGACACGGAGAATTATTTTCGTCACCGATTATATATATGTGTGCCTATGATTAAAGCGTGCGTATAGGGTAAACTGCGATTATAAAGCGGGATCGATCCATTCGCGTTTCCGCGTGCTATATCATCGGCGTACAGTTAATCACATGGCGCACAATTATCGGACATCGTCATATGTCATTACATAATTTAGCGATCGTTTATCGCTATGTATATTGATGAGACACGTTATTCGTACTAGCTTCACTAAATTCTTTCCATACG